CCCCAAAACCCCAAAACCCCAAAACCCCAAAACCCCAAAGAATATAATTGAAGTTGAAAATACTTCAATGTAAAGATTAGACTATTGCTCTATTTTTCAAGAGTTTATTTACCTAATTTCTTAGAGCTTCTAGCAGAATCCTTCAGAGACGATTTTGAAGCTTTCTTTGAGAAGGGGTCCTTAATTTTTGAATTAATTCCCTTAACTTCGCTCTTCTTGTTACTAGTATTGTCCTTATTCTTCTTCCTCTTATCCGAATCTAATGCTTTCTTATCATCCTCATCATGGTCTTCATCCATTGAGTAATCGTCATCACTCTCCTTATTTTCTTCTTTGAGTGGCTTTTTCGTAGCCTTTCCACTGGTCTTCTTAGTCTTGGGTTTCTTCTGATTCTCTTTCTCTTCAGCTGTATCTACTATACCGAGTTTCTTCTTTTTTCTAAGTTCTAGAAATTTCCTTTTAATGGCGTCTTCGTCATCCTTCTTATTTCTTTCTAAAATAAAATTTGGTCTTCTCGTTTTTACAGATGTCAAATGGAAGATGTTCTTGTTTGTTCTTTTGCTTTATCAGAATATTCTCTGGGTGATCTATTTGTAAGATTTTGTTCACGAGTTCGTGATGACCATTGTAAGCTGCAAAGTGCAAGCAGTTCCATTCTCGTACATCAGTTTCATGAAGATTAGCACCTAAACTGAGGAGCAGCTCAAAACAGTTAGTGTGGCCTTTTCTTGATGCTATAAGTAGAGGAGAGATGTTATCCATAATTAGAGAACTGTTCTGAGGCGCAAATTTCTGGATTTCTTTGTTAGAAATTCCTTCAATTTTTGCACCTTTAGTTACGAGTAGGTTGACTACATCAGCATGGTCGTTAAGTGCAGCGAAATGTAGGGGAGTTTTCATGGAATTAGAGTATCAATTGACATTAGCTCCATTAGAGATCAATTCTACTGCAGACTCATACTCGCCGTTGTAAGCAGCATGATGTAGAGCAGTCCAGCCATTATTGTCTACGAGATCAACATTTGCATCTTGGTCGAGAATAGTTCTCAGAGCTGAGACCTTGCTTTTAAGCTTAGAAAGGACTGCCCTATGAATAGGGGCTTCTCCAAGAATATCATTTCGTTCATTAATATTGTCACCTTCCTCACACAGTCTTGTGATATTCTTGTCATTCCCTTTAGAAGCTTCGTCGTTGAGATTTGTCAAGGCTTGCCTGACATATTTATTCTTAGCAATATCAAGAGGGTTCTTTCTCTGGCAATCTCTAAGGTTAGCATCTGCTCCTAATCTCAAGAAGAATCTGACAAGGACATAATTACCCCTTCGACTGACGATATGCAGTGGGGTTTGATCGTTGATATCCTCTGTGTTAAGTACCTCCTTGATCAAAGCCTTCTTGTCTTTCTTATAAGTCTTGATAATCTTTTTATACACAGATGGTTCTAAAAAGTGTTTTAGCTCATTCATAATGTCAAAATGTTTCCTGGGATCTAAGGTTTTGATTGAATCATCTTCCAAGAACTTGAGCTGCTGGCAGTCATAGCTAAATTCCTCAAATCCCTCTGTATTCTCAAGGCCAAAACTCAGTAAAGACGTCACAAGTTTTTCAAATGTGGAGAAATGGAGGGGTGTTCTACCCTCTTCATCCTGTTGGGACAGGACAGTCCTGTAGAACTGAATGTATTCTTCATGAATGTTAATAGCCAGACTTTCGATTGCAGCCATAAAGTCTTTGAAGTTATTCTGGATCTTCTTGCTGATGTAGCCTGACTTGATCAGTTTGCCCTGCTTAACGTCAATATTCTTTAAGCCATAGGTATGCTTGGTGCTGATCAGGTCTTGATGCAGCCTCTCCTTGAAATCATTTATAACAAAGTTCTGGATAGTTATCAAAGTCGTGAAGTTCCTCTTGTAGCATAGATTATGAAACAGGTTACGTTGCTTGAGATCCACAGAGTTTAGCTCAGCGCCTCACTTTAAGAAATAGAGGACAATATTCTTGAATCCGAGGTAGACTGCTAAATCAAGTGGGATATTGCCCTTATCATCTCTTTCAGCAAGGAGGTAGCTGATCCCTCCCTCATCAAGAATTTCGAAGTGGTCTACTATAGCTGTTAATTTACCGTAAGAAACAGCACTGAAGATGTTAAAAGTATCTGGATCGAAGGGAGGCGGCTTGGTAATTCCTAATTTAAGCTTAAATTTTTTATCTTCTTCCATAAGAATAATTTTAAATTTAAATTAAAAATTTGGGGTTTTGGGGTTTTGGGGTTTTGGGGTTTTGGGG